GAGGGAGAGACAGAGCACAGGCAGGCAGGCGTAATCCAAAATAGCGCCGCGCCGACACTCTCCGCTAATGGGGTTCACGCACTAATGCAGTGAGCACGCTAGGTTCTGGCAGGGCACTGCTAACGTGGGACCGAGTAAAGTGAGGGTTGACTGTATATATATATATATATATATATATATATATATATATATATATATATATATATATATATATATATATATATATATATATATATATACTTCATTTTTAGTCCATATAACACGCGGACTTGAACATATAATCAATGACCTCATAAGCCAGGACTCGAAACTCCTAGACCTTATGCTGTCACCAGGGAACGCTACCAACCATGCCACAAGGACACTAAAAGCAATCCTAGACTGTTATATTTCACACAAAGCCTGTTCACGAGCTGATGGCGCCGTGAACCTCCCATTTGGGATTGCCCGTGCCACTTATGTGGTGGGAGTAGGTCTAGGGTTCCAGTCCTGGCTGGTGAGGTCGTTGATTATTTATAATATATATCTCCTGACTCATTCAAACACTGAAGGTCAGTCATGAAACATGCACATGTATTTTGAATGCTGCAGCATCACATCAAAAGTAAGTCAATGTAACATAATTTTTTTTATTAACATTTCCTAAGCTTAACCTAACCAAGTTAATTTACTGAAAGAAAGCTTCAAGATGTGTCACAAGAATGAAGGTTACATAAACAAATTTACCATATACAATACTAGGTATACTCATGTAGAGTATAAGCCTATCTCATTTGTAATTTGGCTCCAGGTTTGGGGTAAAAAAGCCTGATTTTTCATATACCTTTTGTATAATCCTACCCTAGCTTTTCAGAAAGACTAGGTATAAATGTAGACATATTTTGTAGCAAGACAACTAGACTTTCACCAACATGTCTTCACCTTGATCATCACCACAACAGTTGATGCCAAGAACATGTTACCAATTCTGAAACTGAATTTCTGCCAATTACCAAACTCCACTTTATAATTTTTTTTTTACCCTCAAAAGTAGCTTGAATTCTACTGTGCGCTGTAACATCAAAACTTAAATTGAAGGCGTATATAAGTAGCAACAATGAAAGCATAAAAAAAGGCAAAATTATAATAATAGTGTACACACTGCATTGCAGTCTCAGGAATGCTGGCTGCCTGCTTGGCCTCGACATTCACCACAGCAGTACAGCCCAGCTGGACTGCTGCCTCTGCCAATCCCTAGTAACAATGCCCCCACACTCCGCTCCCCCCCTCCCCTGCTCAGCATGCTAAGTCTAGCACACAAAGAAATGTTTATTCTCTTGTATGTTTTTGCCCTTGTGATACCTGTATTTATTATTATTTTTTTTTTTTGCACATTCTGTATGCAGAATTATGTGTGCATGTAACTGAGTAAAAACTAAAAATTATGTACATCAACCTGAAATTACGAGTTGAAAACATCACTATAACATAGCTCACAGCTTAGCCTTGTAGGGAGAGGGCTGGGGGGATGTGGCTACACCTCTACAGTGATGAGTCTAATTTGGCAACAATAACACGAGCAATGTTAACATACAAAACAAAAGAAAATTATGCATAAATCTTCATTTCCATTAGGTATTTGCAGTTTTAAAGTGGTATATACCCTGTACTGTATAGTGAATGAGGTTCTGCTCTTCATGTAGCAACAAAAGAAAGAATTTAGGGGTATGGCAGACAAGACCAGGATAAAGGAGCTTATTGGTAAGGTTAGTCTACCGTGAACATGTACTAAAAAAATAATATGCATATACAGTGCTGTATATTTCAACCCCACACTGTTTACATAAAAATTGGATTATTAAAACTCAAACTACAGTGCAGTATAAAAGTATAAGGTACTTGCTGCAGTAGAGAAAGTAGAATTAGGAAGAAAAGAACATGTAGTCAAATAAATGTCATGGTATATAAAAGAGATAGATATCACTGTATGTTGTATGTTTAAGTCAAACTACATAATGGTCTGCATTTATTGTTTCTTATGAACAAGTAGTTGTTTTATTCACAAAGTAAGCTTACTTGTCATGGGTTGCGTTAGGCTTACCCACACAATCAACTCCAAAGTTTGTTTTACTAGAGATAAGGCACCCGGCGAGCCATGACTACCACATATTTTTTCCATTAGTGGTATGTTAGCCAGTTTATTGAGGGAGGCCATTGAGACAGTGTCGTACTGTTCATCGCTTCACGCCCCAAAACCACATTTTGAGTAGTATCCCCTCGGCCATGGGTTAGTTAAGATGTCGTCCCCACCCTCTCCCTCCTGAAGGGAACGGGACACCACACAGTCCTCCACCGCCACCCCGTCCTGTGGACCGTCTGTGACACGAGACTAAGTGTGCTAACCTAGGTTGTTATCCCCTTGGAAATATCACGTGTGGATGCCTGGTTGCGACAAGAGCAATCCAGGTTGGCCTATCAAACCTACAGTAAATGGTTAATCAATTCATGCTTACAGAGTTCTCCTGCACGACACCTGTCTACAGTGACCGTGATCGACACGAGATTAAGTGTGTTAACCTAAGTTTGTATTCCCCGTGGAAAAATCACGTGTGGAAGCCTGGTTACGACAAAAGCAATCCAGGTTGGCCTACTGAACCTAACTGGTTAATCAAGTCACGCTTACCAGTTCCTCTTGCCGCGACAACCGTCTACAGTAACTGTCGGTGATGCGAGACTATGTGTGGTAGCCCAAGATAACCTTTTTGTTGTTATTCCCCGTGGGAAGAAGTTCTTGTGCGGAAGCCTGGTTGCAACGAGCAATCCAGGCTGGCAGTAAATGTATCACTTGAAGAATTAAGGCTATGTTAAGTCATACCCATAGTAGAGTAATCAAATGTGTCCCCAAGTTGAAAAGTCCCTCTTTTAGAAGATTAACTTTATTACAGCGTGAATATGAGTGACTCGTATATCCATGCAAATTGTAACTCATTGTATGGAAGCTTGCCAAATAAATGTAAGTGCAATTATCTGCCTGTATCTGTGATCCTATCTTATTATTACTAAAGGTAATGACTGATTGGTTATGACAGAGTACAACCAATAACTTAGATGGATGTTGGAAATCAATGGAACTCATTAAATCATCATTTATCAAGTATAAATCATGGAATGTCGGGTGGTGGAGTGAATTTCTACGTAGATATCAATAATCTCCTGTAAGTAACCAGTGTGAAGGTATCGAACTCTACGGTAAGAAATATAAGAAACACAATATATTATAATCTTCATATAATATAATCCACACCATAGACATTACCTAAAACTACACACACACACAGAGCATTCCCTTATGTGCCTGGAGTTTCAAATCAACAAATCCCCCTGCATGTTTAAGTTGAATGAATTGTTATGGATGCAGAAATCTTCCATTTTTTCTCATTTCAGGTTTTTAGAAGAATAACATATGAATGTACTGGAGGATCACTTGGCACCATTGATGGCATATTTGGTGTTGATGCTGCAGGTATGAAAATTTTTGTACAGTAGTTGATTGTTGAAATAAAAGTTAAGGATTATGGACTAAGACAATTTATATTTGAATATCCCATTGCTTGTTATCTTGAATCTTCAAAATCTGTGTATTACTGACTGTTGAGCTGATTTTAATCATCTCCAGTATTCAAGCTTTATATGGCAACCTGGTGAAATAGGTTCTTGAAGCAAGCATTGGTTAACTTAGTAACCTAGAGCAGAATTCTGTATTGCATATTTATTTTAGAATCTTTAAATAAATACAATTTAATATTTGACTTTTGGTTTGACACACTTAATCCTTTCAGTATACTGTTGAACCCCAAGTACAATGAATTTGTGGATTAAGATATTTTAACTATTGAGTATGCCGACATAACCCCTAGAAGTACAGTGGCTTAATCCCGTTAACACAATGTCTCAACCCATTGCATGTATGGTAATTGGCTTATGACTCAAGGGTTTCAAAGAATAAACTTTAGTGCCTGGAGTAAAACCACATTATTTAACCCCCAGAGCACAATATCATTTGTGTTTCTCTTGATTCCAGCCATCCTGTGCCATGTGAGAAAAAGGCCTGTAAAAGTGTAGGAAGTGTTATTGTTGGTTTGTGTTTCTCATCAGAAGATTAATTTAGGATTTGTATTATATTCATTAAATTTTAAGATTTTTTATTACTCGTGACAGAAGAGCCTTCTGAGGGACGAAGCAGTAGTGTGCCAGTTCCCCCTACTATGGCTGCATCCATGGTGTTAGGCAGTATGCAGGAGGTTGCAGCGTTACCTGCAGTCCCCTTACACCAGGACGGACTAGAGAGCCCTGCTGCTTCAGGGACCTGTGGCACCAGCTTGGAGGAGTGCGTCATCTGCTTGGAGAGGCGGCCGGATGTGATCCTTCCGTGCGCCCACGCTTACTGCCTCCCCTGCATAGAGCAATGGTGGGAATATTCTAGACCCTCCTGTCAAGAATGTACTTCCTCCAATGTTGTATACTCAATGTAAGCGAGAGAATGTGATATTGCATGGCTTTGCATGGTTAACTAAAGGCTGTTGCAATTTGCTCTGTGTACACTGGTTTGTGTCACTCATGATGGAGAAGAGTAACACTACATACACCTTCTCATAGTGGGCATACAGTAAGTACAGTACCATCAACTGAATAGGAATATAATTAAAAGGTTATTCATAAATAGTGAAGGATACTATTTATCCAATAATATACAAACTTATTAGTAAACTTATCTACCTGAAGGTGCCCAAATGAAGTCATTTCAAAGTTTTAGTCCTAAGGAAGTCATTAGAAAGGTAAGGGGATCAGTTTTCATAGTAGAACTGAAGGATTGCATTTCGGGATCTAGATCACACATTTTTCCGGTTGTTTACAGAAAGCTGATCATTGTTTACTTGAAATATTCATGTGAGGGGATTAATGTGTGTGTGCACATGCATTCGTGCATGTTGTTCTTGCAATAGTCTCAAAGTGCCATATATATATATATATATATATGTCTATAAAGCACGCTGATCAACACATATCAACCCGCCAGGACCAACCCACGGCCCATGACTGTGACACGCTACTCTGACCACAGGATAATATATATATATATATATATATATATATATATATATATATATATATATATATATATATATATATATATATATATATATATATATATATATATATACAGCTAGACCCCGACTTCACGACTGCTTAACTTACTTAACCACGTAGTTGTGACTTTTTTTTTTTTTCCCAAATGACACACGCATTTTCTATACCGAAACGTTTCCCGTTAATGTAGTCTCCATGTATAATTAGAAAATTATGGGGGCCCCATGTGCATTCAGCTGACTACATTAAAGGTAAGTGCTCAGTCACACTGTATCCATTCCTCATTATTTAATACTTTCACTGTACTGTATCCATTCCTCATTATTAAATTACTTTTACTGTACTGTATTTCATTGTAGATTTTTTATTAAAAATTTTTTTTTTTTTTTTTTATCTAAGTCGGACTTACGACCATTCGGACTTACGACCTGGATTTGGGTCCCAAACCCCGTTGTAAGTCGGGGTCTAGCTGTGTATATAGGTATATATATACAGCAGCAGGTGAATACTGTACAGTACTAAAATTACAAGTGTCCAAAAAATTGATGCATCCTTAATGTAGGTAGAAATAGAAGTTTACATTGTTTATGCATGGGCTTAGTCTGTCTTATCTGTAACTGTTAAAATCCTAGACCTTAAAAACACAAATTTATTTCTAATGTTTCTGACAATTGTACCCGTATGTACAACTTTGAATCATCATCGACTTTTCAATCATCATGTGATCTACATATCTCTCTCACCTCAGCATGCTTTCATTTTAAAAGTACTGTACATACGTACTTGTTCACCCCAGATATTTGTCATACTCAGATATATGTAAGAAAACAGTAGGATCTCGAATTTAGCGAGTTTTAGATTCGCGATTCATATGTTTCGCGTCACTTAAAATTTCCAGCCTCTCAAGAATAGCGATTTTCATTACCAGTTTTGCGAGTCATTGTTGAGTGGACAGCGCGCAGTGTCACTGTCTTTTGTTATTCGTCGACCCTCCGAGTATTTTTTGTTTACGGCATAACTGCAGTTAGTTTGAATGAGCGAGTGGTGCAGTGACCTTAGATTATATAACACATTGTGCTTACTTTTCACGAGATTCTTGTTTAACTATTAACGATGAGAGGTGCGTAATGTAAATGTCGGGAGTGGTTCTGGTGGTAATGATGGAAGTAGAGAAGGTCAACAAGGAAAGCCCCAAGCCAAGTGTGACTACTGTAAGGGGGTCAAGAAGAGGAAATACACCCTTGAAATGAAACGAGATGCTTGAAATGACCATACATTCCCTTAAGAAGAACAAGAAAGCCTTAACTGCTTCTGTGAATATATTCTCAAGATTTTCTAGTAGCAGGACATTCTCCGATACTTCACAACGAAACCTACTGTTAGTTATCACAGAACATTACCTTGACAAGTGGGTGGAAAGAAGAAACCGTGAGCAAGACAACCTGTCTGGGCCACAGATAAGGCATCAGCCACGTGTTTATTACGCTGCAGTTGCACAGAAGAAACGTGTTGATTCTCCACCATCGTTCAATGCTTCTGTTGGTTGGTTGGCTGCCTTTAAGAAGTGTTATGAAGTCAAGTTTGCCCAATACCATAGGGAGAGTGCATCGGCTGATGTCATAGCAGCAGAAAAATATCCACCTGTCTTTCAACCTCTTGTGAAAGAGGGTGGTTATTGCTGAGACCAAATCTTCAATTGTGATAAAACTGGCATTTTCTGGAAGTGCTCACCAGTGGTGGGCACAGCTAAACGAAAAGTTAGCTTCGCTAACTAAAAAGTTAACTTCGCTAACGCTAAACATAAAAACATAGCAGAAGCTAATGCTAACCGCTAACTTTTATTATATGAAATTAGCTTTTTTTTTTTTTTTGCTCTAAAACCCTTAAAAACAGACCTAGAGAGCTGAAATTTTCATATGTTGTCTTGTAGCTTAGACAGAGCTTTCCAAAAAGGTATAGCATGCCAAGATCAAATGATGATCAAGGTGTACACAAATAATTAAATGAACAAATGAAATTAAACATTAGTTTACATTCAAGTTTCAACATACACTTTATAATCTTTATTTACTGTACGAAAAGACAAAGTATTAAACGAATCCAAAAACTATAGTACTGTATAGCATAGGTAGCAAATAGCATCATGCCAAGATCAGATGATGATCAACTTATCAAGGTGTACACTGTACACAATTTCACAAATAATTAATTTGCATTCTCATACAACCTATCGGCATTATTCATGTAAATATGCAATACCAACCACATACACATTATACCAGTGCATTTTTATATAACTTATTGTTGGTCTTAGTCATGTAAATAAACGGAAAACTCTAAACTTTAATAAAAAGTAAGTTTTGTTTGGCACACACCTTGGATGACATCCTGGTTATGAACTTATGCAGTACTTAGCATAACCAAATATATTGACAAAAAAAAATCCTAATTAAATTAACAAATAAATGGGAAATGAAATTATACATTAGTTTCCAATTACATTCTATGATTCTTTCACATACACTGACAGTCTTTATTTACTGTAAAAAAAAAAAATATTAAACTTTAATAATCGAAAAATTCCATTCACTCCGGCTGCAGTGGCTGGGCCTTCTCCATCGCCTCGACGTGATGCTGGTTGCCCTTCATTAACAGTCAGCCTCTTAAAGTTGCCATCTGACAGGGTGGCTCTCTTGGCCCTCAAGATATCTTTGCACGTACTAACACGCAGTCAGCCAAGCGTGCCTGACTGGCTGTTGGAGAAACGTGTCCCGGCGCCACACGCTTACAACAGACAGGAACAAACGTATAAATTTTGTTAGCGGAAGCTAAGTGGTCCGCTAATGGTTTCCAAAGTTAGCGAAAACGCTAATCCGCTAACAAGAAAGTTAGCTTTGCTAATTAGCGGATTAGCAGAACCGTGCCCACCACTGGCGCTCACCTAAGACCACTTTCATTGCCAAGGATGAAAAACAGGCAAGGGGTGTAAAGACTTCAAAGAAAAGGATTACAGTTTTATTCACAGCCGGAATTGAATTTTTCGAGGGCCACATTTTCCGGAAAATTTTCCCGACACCCCGAAAATTCTGGGAATGGGGGGGCGGTTTCCAGGTTTGAGAGATGAAAATCAGGCAAATTTTCTGGAAATTCCGAGAAAATTTTTCCGTTACCCAGAAAATTGCGGGTATGAGGGATTTTTTCCCCAGGTTTGAGAAATGATGTAAAGGGCAATTTCTTGAACTTTCGAGAACATTTTTCCGTTACCCGGAAAATTCCAGCTTTGAGAGTCGCATCATTACCCGGAAATTTCTCGTTCCCGAAAGTGCTCTGCACCAATTGTTCCGGCTAACGGAGATAACACTATTAATTTTTACTGCTCATTTTAGTGTCAATAATATGGATATGGTACATTTTAGTAATCCATCCATATACTGTACTGTTGAAGGGTTAAAACAAGCCCTTCTTCATGCAGTCATTTAGCATTTCTCAGCAGTTATCTAAAGTTTCAGTTGTTTTGTATCCTCAGGAGTGTCGTAGACAAAACTTGCCCGGTCTGCAGAGAATCTCTGAAGAGCACGGACGACACTTGGGTACTCTCGGAAGTCCCCGATAATGATCAGGTCAATGAAGAAATTCGCAGAGCTCTAATCGGCTTAGCAGGGAATGAATCTTAGAACCCATTATGAAGACTTTTACCCATATTGAATAAGCTGCTTCTTTTATTCAAAATTAGGTGGATCTTGAAAATAAATTTCCAAATATGTGGGTCAGTTGTTTAATCTTAGCATTTCTGTACATGACAATATTTTTCCATTCCAGTCATCCAGTAATAATACTGAAAGTATTTATAATAAATAAATAGGAAAATAGATTATTAAAAATGATGATCCATGCAAGATACAATTTGTGTTTTTCTTTAATTATCAAAATTATGTTGTAAATTAGGTAATAAAGGATTATTAGCCTATGTCATTAGAAATGATGTTGCCACCACTGGAGTCTCTGGATCAGATGAAAGTTTGCTAAGTATACAGTAAAGCATATTATCCAAAAGACAATAAATGATATACAGTATCAGCTTTTGCACAAGATTTTTGTGACATTTCAGTTATAAAATAAAGACATAGATAAGCTTTATAAAAAAATACACAAATAAGCTTTGCCTGCAGGAGCATTATAGCACAGTATTTTGAAATATTTGTTGCAGTAAATATGGTAGTTTATATGAACAAACAAACAATATTTGAAAGAAAATATTGTTGTAGGATATTCCAAACTGTAAATAAACTCAAGAGATACAGTACTGTATTGCAGTATGTTTTACTGAATTGAGGTAATGTACAATACATGTATTCATAGTGTTAGAGGCCTTAATGTCCTCCAAACTAGCACACACCAGCCCTCTTGAAGGATGTTGTCCTGCCCCATGATAAGAGGCTATTAAGTATTATGGGCTTCATATTATTGCATTTGTAACCGATATATCCAGTTTTGTATTTAGCTTGACGTAAGCAGTAATGCAAACTAGAAAATGGCGAGGGAATTTCTCCTGTGTATAAATTGTAAAAGCAAAATACAGTAGGCCTATAGAGTGCGAGTTCTGTGAAATGTATGCAAACATATTCTTACTTGTTTCTGACTTGTATCATTTAGTAAAATTTATTAAAGGAATGATAAAAACCTTATCACTAATTGTACCTTATGTTGCCGAAGATAAAATATATTTCAGCAAATAATTTTTTTTAAGTTTACTGTAAAAAAATTCTTTGTTCACTGATGGAGAAGCATGAATGTTCAACCCAAACATCAGACTTATTACAGTGCATGTATACATTTCTGAACACTACATCAACTATACAGTAAAGACCTCCGAGTACCGAACTAATTAAGTCATAGAGATGTAGTTACTTTATTCAGACGTCCACTTCAGCAGGAAGGAACAATTGTTCAAAACAACAGCCAGGGTATTACACTAACACAGATTGGTTTATTTAAGTGTTAATAGATGTAGGTCAGATTCTAGAAGCTTTCAGAGCTGGAAAGACTTTTGAAGATTCCCAAGTCATGACATACAGTATGTGTGTATGTGGCATAAATGGCCTTGTGCAGTGTGAGATAAAGAGGATGATATGGATAATAATAATAATTAACGGTTTATTGAAAAAGTTCTGCAGCCCGAAGGCTGAAAATATACATTGGACATAAATGACTTATTACATACATTGGTGGTTTAACAAAAGCCTTCATTAGAAAAAGGTAAAGGAACATACAGATTAATGTTTACAGTGGAGGTCACGTAGATCATGTGAGCTGATGTATTGAACAGCAGACACGTAGTGTAGTAACTCCCTCCCAGATGATGTTAGGAGGGACCTCACGTGGTGTAATAGTTCCCTCACAGATGGTGTTATGAGGGACCTGACTTGGTGTAGTAATTCCCTCACAGATGGTGTTATGAAGGAGCACGTGGTGTAGTAATTCCCTCACAGATGGTGTTATGAGGGACCTGACTTGGTGTAGTAATTCCCTCACAGATGGTGTTATGAAGGAGCACGTGGTGTAGTAATTCCCTCACAGATGGTGTTATGAGGGACCTGACCTAGTGTAGTACTGTAATTCCCTTACAGATGGTGTTATGAGGGACCTGATGTGTACTATACCGTATACATTCGAGTACACTGAGTTTTTATGATCAAATCTCTCTGTGATGCTACAGTACAGTACATGCAGAACGAATACTGTATAAGGAAATATTTCTTCATGCAGTGGGTAGTAGACCTAAGGAACAGTCTACCAGCCCAAGCTGTGGAATCAAGAACAGTACGTACAAAGGCTACAAAATAGCCCTTGAGAAAATTATCAAGAACAATAGAGGGATCCTACACAGGCCCCTGGCCTCCATCCCTCTGCATGGCCACCGCCAGTGGGTGCTTATTAGGTAAATATTTTCTGTACTGTACATAAATCAAAACTTTTTTTTTTTTTACTCTGGATATTTGTAACCCAAACCTCCATAAATTGAAATTGTTAACAAAATTTCGGGAGACTGGTTTGGATTTTCCATTGTTTTTTGTAGTTATTTACCCTTTCTAATTCCCGCCTGGTGTTTTCGGCCTGTAACGCTCGCGATTTTCCTTGATGTGTTGTTATTTGAGTGATGTCGTCTGCATACATAATATCTTCGTTACCTATTCTAGTGGGAGGCGGAGTGTCACTTGTGTAGATAATATATGGGGTGGGGAGAGGACGCTTCCCTGAGGGACTCCACTCATGAGTGGGAAGGTCTCTCCTGTGTGTTGTCCTACCCTCAGTCTAGCATTTCTGCCGTCAAGAAAGTTGCAAAGCAACTTTTCAATGTTGGTGGGAAGTACGAGTTGAAGGATCTTATATTTTAGACCGTCGTGCCAGACTTTGTCAAATGCCTTCGCTACACCCCGGAGAGTTAGATTACATTGTCTACCACTCGCCGCGGCTCTGGCTATGTTTTCGCATGCCAGGGCTATCGCTGTTGTGGTGGACTTCCCTTTCCTGAACCCGAATTGTCTGCAGTTGACTCTGTTGTTTCTAGGTGATTTCTCAGACGGTTATTGATGATTTTTTCTAGGATTTTTCCAGGTACTTCGAGGAGGGAGATCGGTCTGTAGTTTAGTGGGACGGCAGGGTTCTTTCCTTGTTTTGGTGTTCGGGTAATAATGGCCCCTTTGAAGATGCTATACAACTCAATTAAGTCTACCCTTGCCCATCTATAGTATAAGCTAGGCAATTTCAGGTGCTGTTAATCTCTCAGGGTAGCTGAGGTGCAGTGGTGCAGGCACCAGTCTGGTGGCTCCTCCTTTGGACATTTTCAATCAACTGAAAATCCCTAGCATATCTCTGGGACCAGACGAGCAAGCACTTCACTCTTGAAGATCGTTACGAGGGACAGACCGTTTGGATATCTGAACGACCTTCTTATAAGACCTAATAATTTAGTTGCCTGATTTACCTTCTTCTCGCAATGGCCCAAGAACTTCAGCTCATTGTCAACGTACACGCCTTGGTCATTTTCAAGTTGTCTCAATTAAGGCAGTTTCTTCATCCCGTTGGGACATATGATACACCTCCTTACTGTTGGTACGTCCCAGGTGCAGCCTTTTACACTTCGCGACATTGAATCTTAGCAGCCATTTCTTCGACCATTCTTGAAGTTCGCAAAGATCCTTCTACAGCTCTTCACAGTCTGCTTGGTTCTTAATTTCCCGAAATAACTTGGCGTCATCCACAAACATTTGCATGGAGGAGTGAACAGCGTCAGTCATGTCATTTATGAAGCAAACAAACAACAGTGGGCCCAATACAGTACAGTGAGTTCTGCTATAACGCGTGTTTTGACAACGTGAATTGGCTCTAACGCGATTTATGAATAGAGAAACGATATTTGTATAACGCGAACGCTTGTTTGCTGTAACGTGATTTTTGCTTACTATTTCTCCAATTTTGTGGTATTAACTGTGAATATGGAAAAGAAGAATATCTCCAAGAAGCGTTCTGGTGATCGCATTCCTGGTGATGATCGTAAAAGAAAGGTTCGTAAAAGAAAGGTTATAACCCTTGAAGAGAAGCTCGATGTTATCTACCTCAAAATCACCCTTCTCCCCCATCAAATTATATTCATATTTTTTCAAGGTAGTGTTACATTTACTGTATGATTTCATTATTAGACATGAATGTAACATTTATTTAGACTGTGCTATCCTTTGTGTTAGGCTAACTACTAAATTTTTTTCGAGCTTACTTTTATGATGGTATGCACACACACATAATATAGAAGAGAAATATCAAAAAGAGAATAATATACTGTACCAGGTAAAAGAAAAATCAAGGTTTAACACTTACGTCAGGTTAGCTTAGAAAAAATCAAGGTTTAACACTTCCGTAAGGTTAGGTTAGAAAAAAATCAAGGTTTAACACTTAGGTTAGAAAAAAAATCAAGGTTTAACACTTACGCAAGGTTAGGTTAAAAAAAATTCAAGGTTTAACACTTACCTAAGGTGAGGTTAGAAAAAATCAAGGTTTAACACTGACGTTAGTAGAAAAGATGGGTCGGCATATGGGAATGGCGGCTGGTTCCGAGGCAGAGGGCAGATTACTGGCCCTCAGGTGAATCACCATCACTATCCCCCATAGTTGTCAGGGCCTCCCTGACAAATCCCTCAAAGTCATCATCACTGTCACTATCACTGGCTTGGGCTGGCTGTGGTGGGTTGTGGGCGAAGAAGTCTGTGATGTTATGCTGATGGCTAGTGTTGATGTTGTCGTGATACACCTGGATGTACGGCTCCATAGTGTGCAACAGCTGGTTATGGAAGACTTCAAAGCGGGTATCGTCAGGATCGTTGGAAAGGATGAGCTTCAGTTTCTCTGCACACTCGACGGCATCCTTAACATTACCATGCGTTAACTTGTGTTCTTCTCGGGATGACGCACTGCCTGTCTCTTCACTGACGTGATCGTCTTCTAACATCTCATCGGCAGTCACCTCAGGACCCCTTATCACTTCCATAATGTCGTCGTTGGTGGTCTTGGAGAAGCCTGCAGCTGTAACACTGCGCAGCTTCTCTGGCAAGGTCCACTGCCACTGCAACAGACTGAACCTCACCAGTCACAGGTTGACTCTGCCTCCCACCTGGGATACCTTGCAACACGTCTCCATGCGTGACGAACCGTTGCTACAGACAGCTGATCCCATGCCTCCACCAAGAAGTCCACAGCTTTCTTGACGTTAAATTTCTTCCAAAACTGTTTGACACGAACTTCTTGATCCGCCAACTCGTTCCTCGTCCTTGTCGCTCTCGCTATCGGTGTTACCCAGGTTACGCAACTCATCCTTGGTGTTGGTACAGTCTTTCAGGAGCTTATACTTCTTTGTAGAGAATGCAGCCTTAACGTTGCATGTCAACTCCTGGTCCATGGACTGGATTAACGACGTAGTGTTGGGAGGAAGGAAGACCACTTTAAGTTGGGGTGACGATCCAACAGTAGGGGCGAGTGTCCTGGTGCATTGTCAAGGAGCAACAAAATGTTGAATGGAACATTCTGTTGCTCGCAGAATTTCTTGACATCGGGAACGAAACAGTCGTGAAACCAGGAGAGGGACAGAGCAGAGAACATCCACGCCTTACGTGCGGTTAGCCAGTGGACATTTAGCTTGGTCATGTCTATGTTCTTGTAGGCTTGCGGGCTGTGTGGATCACCGATAACTTGAGTTTACAGGAACCGGAGGCATTGGTGGTAAACAGGACGGTGTTGCGCTCCTTCTGCAACTTCCAGCCCCGACACTTGCTGGCAGACTGGACAACAAAGGTCTTGGAAGGCAACTTTTTCCAAAACAGACCGGATTCATCCATGTTGAACACCTGGTCGTTGGTGTACTGTCCTTCCTCCATAACGTCACATAAGAACGGAAGAAAATCACTAGCCGCAACACGGTCAGCACTCGCTCCTTCACCACCAATGTTAATGTTGGTGATCTTGTTCCTCTTCTTAAACCCTTGCAGCCACCCAGAGGAAGCATTGAAGGGTTTGGGCTCTGCAATTCCCATCTTACGTGCCACTGCTACGTACAGTTCACGTGTGTACTCTTGAACTGACCGCGTGTCCATCGCCATGTTCCGTTGTGCCTGACGAATCAAGTAGCTCAC